CTATGGTGTACTAGTTGGAGTCAACCCGAGTCCCACGGTCGTCCAGCAACATCAGCCACGGCGAGCCGCCTCGTCGGAGAAGCATGCCCCGCCGGAACAGCAGCGGCGCCGGTACGGATAGGTCGGAGACGAGGTGGACCGCCCATCTTCGGTCAGGCGGGTCCTCCCCGCTCGAGTCGCCATGAGAGCGAGGGCTGGCCGCTCGAATCGCCATCGACCTATCCCCTCATCGTCGGTCGGCCAAGTAGTCCTGCTAATTGATTCTCGCGTCCACGCCGGCCAAAACGCCGCAGTTCGCAACATGGAGTCCATGCTAATGGATTCTGGCTTCCACGCCCGGCCAAAACGCCATAGTTCCGAGAGGTGTCCGCCGGCCGCGCGCGTGGAGTCCCAGCTGGTAAAACGCCGCAGTTCCGAGCCGTGCCCGCCGGCGGCTGCTAATTGATTCCTTGTAGTACGTCGTACTGATGCACGTCTGCTGGAGACATGCGTCTCCGTGAAATCAAAGCGCACAAGATGGCTGATGATTCTTTGTCATACAATCAGGTCGTACAATGAGAAACTTAATTGTTTCGGGAGGGAAGCTGCTGCAGGATTTATATCAGCGATTCACCCAAAATGCCCCTAAGGCTTGAATATACTGCACGAATTTGGGTGTAGTGTTGCCTCATCTCGACCGTTGCCTCATAAAATTAAAAGGTTCAGATTAATTTGATGTACCGTAAAAGGACTAAAAAAAAGGTCTGATACCACTACAACAGTAAACATAGGCACATAGCAGAGCTACGTTCATCAGCAAGCTGCAGGATCATATACAAAATTTTCTCGGAGATCCATCACTCATACACAGATATATAGTACAACATACGTCACGAGAAAAACAGCCTCTTCGCGTTGCGCCGCCACTTGAGAACCCCTACTCTTGGTCCAGCCATGTGAAGCTATCCAGCGACCCGATCGGCAAGTCCTGCCGTAAACACGCACGAGACAAGGAGATGAGCCATGAGAGATATGCACTGGGAAACGAAACGAGCACGATGAACGCGGCGGCGCTTACGGCCAGAGCGGAGAAGTCCGGGGGCGTTCCGGGTTCGGGGAAATCTTGGAGCGCGTCCGTGTCAACAAGAGGCAGATGTTGCTTCTCAGGGTAGGCGGCGTCCGGCGTTCCGCTGCGTGACGGGTGTTCATCCAGGCCAGGCAGCGCTGCGTCATCAACGGCATACGACGAGGTTCCAGCGAGCCATTCCGCGGCTCCCCGAACAGCTGATAGGCGGAACTCTTCATCCTCCTGTCACGTAACATGAATGCCAGTGAAATTAAGGAGTTATAACAGTTTACAAGGTGACACAATCTGCTAAGTGCTGACTGCTGTGCTGAGTATATGCACAATATCATTAATTTAGGAAGAGAAAGGCATAACTTGAGGGGGTTATCTTGGCAGCAGAAAAAGTAAAATGCATGTCCTATTCAAGATGTGAATTTAGGTTCATGCAGAGCTTGGTTTATTGTAGTAATCAGGATCAAATTATGTATTGGTGAAGGAATCAGATTTTTTTTTTTTTTTTGCAAACATGACTATTTGTGATACATGGATCTTTATAAGGACTTAAAAGCTTCTCATATATTTCTGAGACTGTTGGATGCACTCTTGCAAGCAGAGAAAATTCTCCTGTCTAGTAGGAGTATCTAGTTGTTTTTGTGCAGTGTAGCATTTGTACTACATGAAACCTAGAGTTGAGGAAGGAATTGTTCAGACGGAGGGATCCTAGTATTGCAAGGCTTTGTTCAGGGGCTTCCAATAATTCACCCACAATCAGTATTGCAAGTCAATACTCTAGAGTCCTATAAACAGAGTTTATCGGGTGTACATAGGATTTTATTTGATAGATAAGACAAAACCTTCCAGAAAGTTGATGATAGTTTCATCGGTCAATGAAGATTTACCTGATTCTGCTCGGTTTCGAATGGACTACTGTCTGGCCGAGGAGGCTGCGGAGGGTATGTCATTGGGGTTGTAGGATCGATTTTCACAGCAAATGAATCGGATTCTTCATTAACAGCGAACATTACAGACTGCCCAGCTTTCTCTGACGGCAACTGAAAGAAGACTTTGCAAACAACAAGCTCCCCATCCTTCTCATTTTCATCTACCCCAAGGTGATACTGATGCATCGTCCAATTAGTCTTTTCTGCCTTGGCACCTCCTTTCCTAAGAACCATTATTTTCTTCCACCCTTTTATGTCACCGTTATTATCTAAGATATGTCTGGATTTTCCAGTCTTGTGCCATCTGAGATGCTCATCACAAACATTGCAGTCGCTGTTGCTAATCTTGCGACGCTTGCGCGTGCCAACATCATAGGCATTACAAATTTTGTGGAAGAAATGACTGGCGGTTCCATCTGATTTGACACCTGCAGACGTATATGAATTAGCTAATGAAGAATTACTCTGCATCGTATGAGCTAACTTTCTAATTCAGAAAGCCCGGATAACAAGTCCAAAATAAGAATCATGTACCAGGGAGATTTTCCGGATGTGTATAGCAGATTCCTTCTGGCATCTCTATAGTTGGAATAAAATCATCTATTAGTACATGGGACACTGCCCTGCCAATCTTCCCTTCTAAATGTCCAAGCAGTTGAAGATCAGTAGGATCAAACTTAACACCAGTAGGGAGTCCTGGCCACTGTGATGAAACCTGCAATATGAAGACATGAGCTTTTAGCATTTTACACTTCAATCAGGACAAAGAAAAGACCACGATACCACTATTCGGAAATAGAGGGTTGAGTACTGTTGTTTGGATGGTGTGTGTTAGTTTACTTTTAGCTTTTGCGGGAGGTGTTAGTTTAGTTGTTAGTATTAAGTGACACTGAAATAGCAAATGGAAAAAGAAGGGTGGTGCAGAGTTATCTCTCGAATTGTAGAATGGCATGTATTTGGAACAAAATTTGCAAGCTAGAATGAGATGTATTAGGAACAGAGGGAATACTAGGCAATATCCAGAAGCAGTAGAAGTTTGCGGTTTGCCCAGTTTTTGCCTTCTTTTTCGGTTTTGATAGCTTTCATAGGTTTTGCTAGCATTGCCTTTTGTTTTGTTTCGTTTTGCTTTGTAAACTTCTGCATCTTCATGGAGTTCTTCTAATGCGAAACAACATACAATTTTTCATCCCCTATGATCATAAGACCAGGTTCCATCAGGTTTTTACTTGCCCCGATAAACCACGTGTATTAATATGTTGTATTAACTGCAGGACCGCCATTCTGGTTTTTATTTGCTTGCTCATAATGACGAAGTTACAAATTATAAGCATCGATGTAGTTTAGAACATAATGTTTCAATAAGCATATCAAGTGTAATAACGATACCATGGAACTATTACTTACTACTAGTGTTGCATCCGATGTTTTGTTTGGACCTAGTGCATTTGTGAAGATCAAGGTTGAACATGGGCAAAAAGATAATTACTAGAGAACCGTGCATAAAAGTAAATGAAACAGTCATATTGAATAATTAATGGTACTTACATCACTATTATCAATGCGATGTTCGCATTTTGGGCACTCCATCCCTGCTTCTGGAAGCAATTCCCCGTTTCTTACCATCATGGCAATTATCTTGCCAGTAACAATGAATGGCCTGAAGTAGAAATGTGTGAGCTAAATTTATTTTAGGAAGCCTCGTTTGATGCCTAACAAATAAAGAATTTAATTAACGATGTAAGTTAGAGATCCCACTTGTCTCAACAAAAAGCTATCGACCTTTTTTCAGATTCACAATGTAGCAACTAAACTAAATGGGAATATATGAACGGATTTGTACACAGAGAGACATCTATCTGAATTTCAATGTTCAGTCATAGGATATTAACTGCGGTAAACAGATTTAAAGCAAACTAATCAAGAATGGCCATGTTCCCAAACTCAGAGAAAAATCTCAGGAATAAAGATAATCAATTGTGTACTAATTCTGAAAATTTTGATAGATTAGCACTTGTTTGCAGATCTTTTGTCTTGCATTGCCATTCCAACGTATGTAGGCAGAGACAAGACAAATATAGATCATCCATCTCTGTTTTATCCTCTGTTTCTGAAGAAAGAGGAGCCTAAAGCAGAGCATGCCCATTGATTGATCTGAAGAGCCAGTGATTTAACCAACATGCACTCGGTGACAACATGTCCAATCATGAGCAGATATTCAGATTGGCAGAATGCAATCAAAAGTTTCCTGCGAGAAACACTGGGATTCACCACGCCCCCCTGAAACCTGCATCTGCCATTTTTGTGCTACTGCAAGCGAACGGAAACCTGGAGGCTGAACAGAGGAGTTCTGAATAAGCATTTCCGCTGGCAGATAGAAAGCCCAGCACCGAACATGTTGGAGATGGCATACAGAAACGTCTTCTGTGATCCACCCACCAGTAATATTTCTTCCAACGAGGTGCGATGCATCAGACATCAGTACTGAACCTGAACGCCGCACCTGCACCATCAGATACTGCAGCAGTTCGACAATCCACGCATCCAGCAGCGCAAATCAGCAATCTCTACCGTATGATGAAGTAGAGCACCACGAGATCAGCACAGGTGCGACCGGAGAGCACCACGAGATCAGAATCAGATCAGTCTCTGCTACAAAGAACAGAGCGGAACGGAACAGAGCCCTTCTCTGCTTCCTCCGAGAGGTTGGTTCCTCCTTCTCCAGCACCACCTAAGCACACCGCGAAGCCCCTGCACTGCCGCTGCAACGACAAGTAGAACCAGGCCGGATTCCTCGACGGCGGCGCGGCGGCGTTGCCCTCCTCTGTTTCGGTCTCTTTTTTTAGAACTTCTCTGCTTCCTTCGGGAGGAAGACTCCTCCTTGAGACCTCCACCACAAAACTGTCCCAAAGCCAAAAACCCCAGCACTGCCACTGTAGCAACGAGGGGAAGAGAAAACCGGCCGGAATCGCGTCGGCGGCGTCACACCGGTCTGCTCTCCGACGATCTCGCGCGCATTTGCTCGGTCAGACTGACACCTCCTCTGCCGCGCGGTCAAGCTCCGGATGAACACCAGCACCCTCCGGTCTCCGCCAAAAACCACGCGCCGGAATCCACCGCTCGCCGATCAACCGCGACGCCCCTCCTCGGGATCAAAACCGGAGCCCTCCCACCCACATCAAATCCCCAGCCCCCCTCGCAACACAGAAGCAGATAATACCCCAAACCGCGTGTGAAAAAAAAGCAAAAAAAAAATATCCCGAGCAGGAAAAAGGAGAGACCGAACGAGAGTAGTGGAGACAGAGCCCAGACGCGGATCACTTACTCTTCCATGGGCGCCCGGCTGCGCCTGCGGAGGTCGGCAACGGTGGGAGCAGAGTGGTGGGCGAGAAGAGAGCGGACGAGCATCCGAGGGGGAGGCGAGGAGGAAGGGCGTGGGAACTTCTGGGCAAGTGAGGTGGGATGGGAGTGTCCGAGCCTCCGGTGCGCGCGCCCTTATATAGGCGAGGGGCGAGCAGACGCGCAGCGTGACCAGCGGCGACCGTCCAAAATGCTTGCATAGGCTCGGTAGGGGAGCTTTGGGTATGGTTCTGTCGCTCCGCGGGGTCCGGGCTCGGGTGCAGGTTCGGCGTGGACTCGGCTTGCCATGGTTGCATTGGCTGCTTCCTCTCAGATTCTTTTCCGCGAGAGGAAACTTTTGCGAGACGCCTTTTGCGATCAGTACTTTGCACTAACCCGAAATGAGACTATGAGGCAAGCGAGAGGATGGCCCATTCATTGATCTATCTCCTGGCAAACAAGGGAAGCCATTTATTATTCGCACAGTAAAAAAGAAACAGGACTTCTTCGTTTCAAAAAAAGAAACAGGACTTTGTAGTACAGCTCCGTCAAAAGAAGACCATCCGTCAGCATCCGATGCACTGCCAATGTACTGCTCCCTCCGTCCAAATGAAATTGATTTTGCTGTGAAATCTCGTTCGGTCGCACATCGGTCCGACCAGCGTCTACCATGTGAAGCCGTTGGCATGAGGTGAGGAGAGTGACTGCATCATGGTTGTTAAGAGACGAATGGAACAGAGGACGCGAACGAGAGTGCAGCGATTTTCACATGGTCTCGGCTGTACTAAAACAAACGCGCACAAAGGTGGATGGGTTGGCCTGCCCTGATCTGAGCCAACCGTTGCCCATCCAACGCTGAGAAAGCCAACATTTCAGATTTCACTGCCCTTTTTAGATCGGATCAGAGGAAGTATCTACTATTTGGGATTTACTACTTCACTCAACTCAGGAAGAATTTTGTCAAGATCTTGTTCATGTATGTATGTGCAGGGATCTTCTGCTGCTCAAACTGTGCAACAAAATCTTCTCTTCATATGAGGCAAACTTCCCACAAAGATTTTCTGGGCATGGAAATGGATATGGCCTATTGGACTACAGGCATGGACGGCCGGTAGGCCACCCCTGGACCAGCCTTCTACACTTCGGCATGCACAGCCAGCCCCAGTGAGAGGGGGCTCGGGTGGGACCCACTCCCTACCTGGCCATTTTTCTTGCATTGCCGTCACATCACCAAAGCGCCCAATGGTTCAAGCCCGCTGCCCTTGCCCCCCTAATCTTCCTCTCCAAGGCAAACAAGGAAAAGAACGCACCTGGCTACTCTCCCGAGGCCCAACGTGTCGCCCAAAACATGAAACCACGCGTACACATGTACAGTGAGAGAGAGAGGAGTGGGGAGAGGTGAGTAGCGAGTCGCCCTGTGGTCTTTGCCCACTCCTTCGTGTCCATGTACAGCGTGTTTGGTTGGGGGGAGTTGGAGACAGGGAATGGGAGTTTAAGATAAGTGACACTTTAAATCCCTTGATTGATTCAGAGACATGGGAATTAAGGAGGGAAGGGGAAGAGGAATTAACAGGTCCAACTCCTTCGAATCTCTTCCCTGGGGGACCCCTGGTAATTTAACTAGGGATTGGGAATTGGTAGAGAAAAAAACGTTCTGTTAGTTGGCACGTCCGTGAGGAGAGGCATTGCACGTTGAAAGTTGTTTATTCCTCTACCTAATCTCACCAATTAAATAGGGGCAGTTAATTCTCTTCTAAATTCCCACCTTAAATTACCTTCACATGCCAAACAAAGGAATGAGAGTTAAAATCAATTTCCCATGTCTAATTCTTTAACAAATTCCCATCCCAAAACTCCCATTCCCTCTCCCTGTAGTTACCAAACACGCTGGTACAGTTTTGTGTGTTGGATTTTTCTTTTACGCCATCCTTTGTGTTTAATCCAACAGTTTTTTTTAGTATCGTTTAATCCAACAGTTAATTGCCCGTCGGTCCACGCATTAAGGCCCAGCCCATTTTAATCAGCAAGTGACTTCGTGTGTAGTAGGATGGGCTCCATTTGCGCACAGTTGGATTGGGGGCTCGGTCACGGGGCTGCGGGGTGGACGACGGGCGGATGTGGATGGGGCTGGAGCCAAACGTGGGTGAGGAGGCCGAGGGAGAGAGCGACGAGATAAACAGCTCAGGGCTAGATTAAGGCCCGGTTCTTTTGCCAGAATCTGGGGATTCTCCCAGAATCCGATTCCTACCCAGCTTCTCCCAGAATCTTTGAGTCCACTTTGTTTTACAATCCTATATAATTAGACCCTAACTAGATAGGATTGTAAAACAAATGGGGCTCAAAGATTTTGGAAGAAACTGGGTAGGGGTTAGATTCTGGAAGAATCCCCAGATTCTGGCAAAAGAACTGGGCCTAAACCGGTGTTGAAATCTTTGGGGTCTAAATCAGACCAAAATTGACTTCGGGGGATATGGAGACATTGGTTTGGGTTTGAAGGTGAAAACAATACTTCTTTCTTTTGCGAACGAAGGTGCGCATTGCTCTTTAGTTACTTCGTGTCCGTAGAAAAGCTCGATATTGTGTATTGAGTGTATTTCTGGCTGGCATTGTCCGGAAGAAATGTAGGAGCTGGACCAATGGGCTAAGGATATCGGATACCTGCTGCCAGCACTACATGTACTATTTACAATCATCATGGAGTACATGTATTTAACGGTGACATACACTTAAGTTGACTCCCGCAACACCTTCTCCTCTGGTCGTAAAACTGAATATTTTGTACTGTACACCTACGCCGGTATTGTCCCTTCCGCTGGGTCTATGGAAACCAAATGATTCACAGGAGACATTTGCTCGCTTCTGCCGCCGGACGAGACAGCACGCGACAAGTTCGTGGCAAATCCTCTGCCTGTTCCATCTGCACAACCACGGCCTCGGATAAAGTCCAGTCAACTTGACTTGACGTGACTGTGGTTAAGTGTCGCCATGGCTTGCGTGCAGGTTGCTACTAGTAGAACCGATGAAGGAACGGCGGAGACGGAACAGCTGACCTCAAATCAAATACACACGGCAAGAGAGATGATTACAGTTCGTCCAAAAAGAGAGATGATTACTCGAGCCAGACGCTATCCCATAGCGAGGCCAGTCCGTCCTTTGATCCTGGCATTAACTGGTTTTTTGACGTTTTGGCCCAGCGACCGGCCTATGGAAAGACCAGTCTATCTACTTCAAGACTAGCGGGGCACGTGAGCTAGGGTTTCATCCGGCCTGCATTGCACCGCCCAAGGCCAACCAATAGAGCCACACGCCTCGCAAGATCGCCATTCTAATCGAGATCTGATGGAAGAGAAGGAGTGTCTCTTTAACATTGGATCTAGCTGATCTTCAATTAGTTATCGCCTCTGAGGGTTGGAATATCCTTTGAGACAACTCATCAAGTGGTATCCTTCTGAAACCACAATGAAGTGCGATCGTAACAACAATTGCATGCATTAATTCAATGTTGGTCAAAATTAAACATACAACTGTTTATGCAATTAAATCTATATCATCGTTGGGCAAAAATAAAAATAAATGCACATTTTATAACAACAATAAGTCATGATTATGTTATTAACAACGTTGGTCATAAAATAACAGAATCATAATTGTTTCAATAATTATTTTAACCTGCTTTTAAAATTTAAATTTACTTTTAAAAAAGCTCTTTTATTTATTTGTAGCGGAAAAACATGAATAAAAAATTCATGAACTTTATACTTTTCAGAAGCATTTCTTTTACTTTTCTATTTTCTAAACAAAATTTTCATTGGATAATTTTGAATAGAGAAAACTGTATAAAATTTGCCCAAAACTTGGACAAAAAATTGAATAAAAACGGAAGCTGGCCCGGACTCGACCTAGCGCGCGCGGCTGCAGCAACAACGGCCCAGCGCCTATTCGCGCGCCGCCGCTGCCAGCCTCGCCTCTCTTTCGGCCCAAAGGCCCGCTGTGCCGAGCGCCGTTTCATCATAGCCGTCCATTTGATCGGACGGTCACCCACGCATCTAGGTCCAACAAAACCACCCCACCGCGCAGCACGGGGGGTGCTAGTCCATTTCTCTCCCTCTCGTCTATCTCTCGCCCGCACTGCGGGTAAGGGCAACGCCGGCCACCGGCGACAGCATCGAAACACCGCACCGCACGAGCCCCTTCCCCTTCCCACTCTTCCTCTACATCCATCCTCCACCTCCTGTGGCAGAGAGAGAGAGCCCTCTGCTCCCCTGCGCTCGACGGCGCGCTCGATGCGGCGGCGACCCCTGTCCCCCATGCCGGCGTCCGCGAGCTCTCGAAGGAGAGCGGAGCGCGCCGCTGTCAAGTGGCACAGCGGCGGTGCCCTTTTCCCCTTTGGGGTACCTCCTTTCAGCGGTGGCGAAGGCGTGGTGCCCCCCACTGCCCGTGTTCTTCTTCCGACGCCTCGGCTTGCCGGTGCGCGTCGAGATCGAGAGGAACGACGCGGCCTCAGCTACGACGCACTTTGCCGGCGAGCCCGAGGCCCTTTGCCGGTGAGTTTCTTTGCCCTGTGATTAGGATTCTTCGGGAGGGGAAAAGAATTCTTTGATTTCTTTGCTACCGAAAATTCTAAAGCAACTCTGGCTCTAAAACCATTGATAGATCCTATGGATCGGGTAGGTTAGAGATTAATGGTAGGCTACCTTCTCCTTGGCTCGAGGAGCCCGAGCCGGTGGCCATGGTGGAGGGGCAACGGCGTGGGTGGGTGTATGCGAGAGCAGGGGCGGCAGAGGTGCTTCCCATCGGCCTACGCTAACCCTAGATCGGTAGGGATATCGGTGGGAGGCTGCGGCGCACAATGAACCTCATACCGTGTGCGCCCCCCACCTCTTTATGTAGCATGGCGACACGGGCCCACCAACCAGAGTTCAGTTGGGCGCCCTCGATCAGGGCGCGAGTCAAGGGCCCGTCGAACCGTTGGGCTCGATCGGGAGGAGATCAATCTAACATTCTCCCCCCATCTCAACTTTTCTTTTAACTTTATACTTTATACTTTACTAGTTACATCACCGATTAGT